CAGAATGAGCAAAAGGAGGATAAGTTTGCCGCGGGATGGATCGGATGCAGAGTACGAGAAATTAGAAATCATGCAGAGCACCAGTTCGATCTGAAGCACAAATAGAGGAATGGCTCAGGAATAAGGTTGTGGCAGGAAAGGCTAAAAATGTGAATGCTGTCGAGAAACTATGAGGATTTCTTCAACAACGTTTATTCGGTCAACCTGCGACAGTTAAAGTAGCCCAAGTAATAGAAGCGGAGGAGCATAAGGTATTACAGTCGAAGATAGCGGAGCTGGAGTTGCGATGTGATAAAATGAAGGGAGAAAGTTAAGCAGAGAAAGAACAGTGTGAACGGAAAGATACGCAGAATGAGGAGGTACAAAGTAAGCAGCGAATAAGGATTGCAGAGCTAACTGGTATGATGGGAAGTCAAGCAAAGTTGATTAACATGGGATTACAGCAGCAAAAAAAGTTACGTGAAGCAAGAAGGGAATGAAAGCGTTAAAGAAGGAGATGGATCTATTGAAGGGTGAAAATGATAATCTGCAAGGTGCCTGCCAGGTAGCGGTTAAGACAGCAGAAACTGGATGGCAGATAGAAAATCACGGAACAAATTGTTAAGTTAAAAGGGCAGCTGCACGAGAAATCGGCTTTTGTTTGCGCAACAGCAGGAGGATGGGGTAGTAATTGGAGTAATAACTCTACCGAATGCTACAAAGGTGGGGGTAGATGGCAATTTGTTTGTGATTTTCCGATCGAGCTATAACCGGGGTCAAACCGAATAAAAATTGCCTTAATATCACCTCTAAACCATCGCCCATGGAACAAAAATTGGATACATTGAGTGCCTTATTAACCCTCCAGCAGTCGACTGGAGGCGTTCTTCAAATCAGTAAATCCTCCAGTTCTAAACGTGAGAAACATGAAGAAGTCGACAAACTTAAAGCTCAAGTAGTAGCCTTAGTGGAGGAAAAATCTGAAAGAGTGCAGGAGAACAGGAGTTCACTGCGAGGTTTAAAATACAAAACTAGTCAAATCAATCCAGGTAAAAGAAAGGGCAATGTTAAAGGAATAAACATAAAGCCGATGACAAACCCACCAATACCGAAGGATTGTAAAGGTGAAACTAAGAAAGGTATTAAAAAATCAAATTTTGAAGAAAGTTTGGGACAAATGGTTGCTTCTGAATTTGAAAGTTTACAGAAGCAGTTAAAAGCAATGCGACAACTTATCATTCACTGCTCTCACTCTGGTTTGTACAAACAAACGAACACTCGCTGCTTTATGCTGACCAGGACAGGCTGCTCAGAGATTTAGTTCTTCGATTTGTACATCAAGCGAAACTGTTTTTACAGCTAATTGTCATGTCCAAGCTACAATTGAATCCCTGGTAAAACTAGTAGTGAAAGTGTTTTGAGTTAGTAGCACAAAGAGATCAAATTTCTATTCCCACTTCACATGATGATCACCAACTTTACTGTAATTATATTAATTAACTAAAGTCTTTAAAGAAACGGGAGATTTCACTTTATGATTCAGTTCCTACAAATACTGACAATGGCTCGTTACATCCTATGAAGGTTCCTTTCCTTCCAGCGATTTCGTCTGGGACGACTTATAATTCGCTTACCCTCCCACCCACAATGCCGATCTTCATATTCAATTTCAGCTCGACCGTCTGTTCTTGAGATGAGTGGACAAGCTTAATTCATTGTATCTTGTACTTCACAGCAGGGGTCAATAACTGCACAGAAGACAGTGTCTACATTGGCAACTGCGCGGGATTTGCATACGTCGCATATTGTAGAAAGCGCGGTCAATAGGTAAACTGTGACAGTTCAAGGAGAAGTGATAGTATTAAGAATGTCATTGTTCTGATTTATTTTATGTAACATTTAATTAGTCGATTCCAGTATTTCAGTAATTGTCAAAGCCAGCGGGCAAGGATAGAGGGAACATCCATTGAAAAAATGTTTCAAAATGCTGTGACTATACTGTTTTTTGAATTATGATATTATTGGTAATGATGTGCTGTAATCTCGGGTGCTAATATTAGCTGAAAGGATTGATGTGGTGGTTGAGGTAAAATGGAATCGTGAAGATTCTGATGGTGATATTGGGCTGTATTGTCAGCTTGACCCACTCGCGGTGGGGACCAGATAGTTTGCAAACCCAGAATTCTGGTTTGTCTTAAATTGACCAAAAATGATATCGTGAAGACTCATGACTTGCTTGGCTGAAATAGAACTGATTGCATGGACTTTTAAAGACATTAGTAACATCTATATATAACCAAAGGAATATACAGATCAATGAATGGTAAAACAAGCTGTTGAAAGTCTCACTGCTGACTTGGCAGACGTGATAAAAAGATCTAAGTTTGGGAACCAAGAAGACAAGTCTAACCGATCTTAAGAAGAGATATTCTACAATCAGCATTGATCGAACCACGTTATCAAGTCGATTCCTAATCACAGCCATTGTATCAATCTGATTAATCAATTGCATTCAACTTTCTTATTCATACCTTCTCCTTTCGTGATTGCCGAAGCTGTAATTTTATTAACAATTATTTTGTCTTCATGTTGTATTTTAGTTTGCTTTATAGGTCTTGGTATATTTGTGAGACTTCATTATTATCATTATTTCTACACCTTTGCACGGGAACCGCGCTCTCACTTGCTCAGTTTCCTGCCACCTCCCACATAACCTGGTTCCAACACCATCTCCTCTTTGCAGCCATCAGGAACGTCAACCACACATTCATCACGTTGGTATGAGTGCACAAATGTTCTGATTGCGCGAGCCTCCAGCTGTAAGCTACACAATCTGCAGAGTTTCCAGACTTCTGCAGCCCAGGCATTGGAGACTGAATGAAAGTTTCGGTGGCTTCACGGTTAAAGTGTGGTAGAACCGGGGAATACTGCAAGGCAGGCGAAGGCAGAGAATGTCACGGCAAATACGTGGGGTAGAACGGACAGTTGAGGGTCAAACGAGATGCCAAATTTCCGGAATAACTCGTTGAGTTGGAGTGCGCGTCACTGGATGATGTTTCTTTCAATTCCTGAGTGGCGGATGCACTTGTGGGCGCCAGTCATATGGCTTTGGTCTTGTTGACGGCCCGATATAGAAAGGACTCGATCCAGCACATCCAGGACTCGATGTCTGGCAGACAATCTGAGAAGCAAAAATAGTTAAACATGGAACAGACAGGACAGAATTAGATAATTATTTGAGGAAGACACGTTTGCAGATCTACGGGGAGGAGAGGGAAAAGGACAGAGCGGGAGAGTTGCAGGCAGGGGGGCATTTTGAGTGAGGGCCAGCTCGAGGACAGCAGCTAAGATGCAGACGCTAAGAGGCGGCGGGTTCAGTGGAAGAATGTCAGCCTGCAAGTGGCTGTCGTGGTGCAGAATGTGGAGGGCGAACATTGTGGTTAGCAATGAGCTGCCTGCAGGGGAAGGACAGGCTAGACAGACAGACAGAGGATGAGAGGAACGGAGGGACGCAGACAGACCGAGGAAGTGAGACACATTGTTTTAAATTCTAATGTAGAATACCTGCTACCTGCTTTGATTCAAACCTGGCAAGAGGAAGTGACGTCTGGCAGACTGGCTGGAAAATCTGGAAAGACCGAAAGTGCGGCTCTCGCTGGCCACGTGATGGTCGGCGTTCGAACCCCGAGACCCCAGCGTACCCTACAGCTACCGGCTGCTGCATCAAGCTAAGGCCACTCCCGATCCCCGAGACCCGACTACCGCTCTGGCTAATACTGGTCCCGATCCCCAGGAGACCACACCTATTATTCCCTGCCGCTGCCTGACTTACCTTCCATGAGTCCTGCTCGGGTTACATGGATTTTCGAGTTCTTGCCGCACGCTGGCATTGAATTCCTAACTTTTTAGTTGAACTTTTTGTAACAGTTAACATGTTCCAGCTATGATTTACAGCACGACTTTAAGTGCTGGACATTAACCAGGGTGTTTTATGATATTATCTGGAATTAGGTAAGCAGCGTTAGACTTTGAACTGCAAGGAAGGATTGGTAGTCTGTATCAAATAACACTGTCGACAGGGCTTTACATAAATTAATAGGTCGTGAAAACAAATTCTCCAAGCCAACACGTTTGCGAGTTTCTGGACAACGTAAATCGATACTATAGGTATTGAAGGGGTCTTGCTCGAACCTCAACTGTCTTTTCTTCGTCACATCCAAGCCATGACACACTTTGCCTTCGCTCATCTCCGTAGCACCGTCCGACTCCGCCATTGCCTTACCCCGCAGGGCGCTGAAAATCTTGCTCATGCCTTCATGCCCTCCAGGCTCGAATATTTAAATGTCCTGCTTGTCGGCGTTCCCAACTCCTCCTTACACAAGCTGCAGGTAATCCAGATATCTGCAGCCCGTATCCTTTCCCGCACCAACTCCGTGACCTCATCTCTCCCAACTCCATTTGAAGATCCCATTCAAAATGTTGGTCGTCACCTACATAGCTCTCGGTGATCTCGACCTACCCTACATCTGCGACCTCCTAAACCCCTACCAACCCGCCGGCTCCCTCCGCTCAGCCGGCTTTGGACTGCTTCTCGTAGCCAGGCCCACCCACCCCACCATTGGCTGAAGAGCCTTCAGCTACTCTGCCCCCAACCTCTGGAATTCTATTCCCCAATCACTCCGACTCGACCCCTCCTTAGCCTCCTTCAATTCTCGCCTCAAGACCCGCTTCTTTAACCATGCTATCGGCCACCACCCTTTCCCTCACCTCCCTTCTCCCCCCGAACGCAGCATGGATCATAAATGCTATACACCTTTCAGCTCCTTGGAGCGTTCTCCCCACGTGAAAGGCGCTATGCAGATGTAATCTTGTTGTTGAATCTCTAACATTTTAGTGGAAATGTTTGTAACTGGTAAAGGTTTTGCATCTGTGGAAATTTCCGAGGGAACAGGGCGCGGCTGTGATTTACAGCCAGACTTTAACTATTGGACTCTGACCAGGCTGTTTTATTACCTGTGAAAACGAGAACCCTGAAGCCACATTACTGAGAGGCTCGGGATCCAGAAGCAGGAATCGCCACTCAGTCAGCCTGAGAAAACGGTGAGTCTCTTATTAGATCTGATTGTGACTGAAATGGAGCAGTGAAATAATTAAAACGTTTATGCCTATGGAGACGGTTCCACATGCGAGCGGATAATCTGAATTGTTGTTTTGTTACTAATGAAAGTTTAAAGCAATTGAAGAAATTTGGAAGCAGCGACCGAAGGAGAGGCTAAATGTCATTTGTTTCATTCATTTAACTAACCAATGATTCTAGTATCGTGTCAGGGATAAGCTAACTCCAACATCTACTCACGAATGTGATTGATATAAAATAGTATTGTCCAGCAATCAGCTTTCGTGTCGAATTTTAGCAACCGCCTCTCTGCATCGGACGAATGGTCTGTTCCTGAGCTTGTCCAAACCTTTCTCGCAGCAGAATCCTCCAGCAATGTCCATCATGCTGGTTGTTGTACTCTACGCTGCCCTAAGAACCAGGGTAGCTGCTTTTACAGTTATTGTTTCAACCCTTCCATCTTGAGGTTTACGCTGGTTGGAATCCAGCACTTACCCCAAAGCAAATCCTGCGGTCGCCCAAAACAGCATGCGTCACACAAAAAACTGAGAAGCAGTGAGATCCAGAAACAGGGTGAGAAAGAGAAAGAGAGAGAGAGAGAAAGAGAGAGAGAGAGAGAGAAAGAGAGAGAGAGAGAGAGAGAGAGAGAGAGAGAGAGAGAGAGACAGAGAGAGAGAGAGGAGAGAGACAGAGAGAGAGAGAGAGAGAGAGAGAGAGAGAGAGAGAGAGAGAGAGAACATTCAATTCCGACATTCTCTTTCTAGGAATTCCATGTAAAGTGGAATGTGTGGAATTCTCAGGATGGTTGTGTACTCTGTGGCACTCTGAAGCGCATTTATATAGCGTCCTGTTTTGGAGTACGCTGTATAAGTGCAAGTCGTTTATGTTGCTTCGGTTACTGTTCAGGATGGTGATGGGTTTCGTAATATTAGATGCTGACAATTCAAAAAATGCAGCTCAGAATCAAACACAATTAATATTATTTGCTCCGAGGCACCACCTGTGTGGATACTGCGACGAAGTTGTTAATGTTACCGTTGGTGGCTGCACTGCGACGACATATTTTGTGGCTGAAGATTCCCAGCATATCTAACGCTGGTTTGAAGTTCATTACTCCAAATCATATCTTTCTGAATGCTGCTCACAAGCATTTGCCCTGTGGGGTACCAGACTTAATTATGTTTAAGGCTTTATCTTACACGCTGAATGCCACCTTCTTTTTCTGTTTCGCCACAAGTAGCAATTAACTTGTATAAGATTGATCTCATGTAATTGACTTTTATGGAGGGAAAGTTTGAGATCACTAACGTGCAGGTCCCAAGTCCGGAGCCCAACCCACAGTTTTATTACCTGAAAATATCCATGAAGTGCAACGTTACGTATTCGCCTTGATAACATATCACTGACTGATACACAAATGGAGTTCAAAGAGCAGGAACACGAGATTTGACACAGAACACAGTGGATGGGCTGAATTGCGCAGGTAACTGACAGTATCAAAGCGAAAGTTGCAGTTGAATGTTGAGGAAGGAGTTGGCAATATCTTTCTTGTGTTAGATTGATGATGGACGGGAAGCCCAGTGATTGGGGAAGCGAAAGTTACGCTCTTACTCTAACTGAATGAACAGTGCCTGAAAGGGTGATTTGATAGTGTGACAGCCTGAAAAGTGCAATTGTGACTTTGAGCAGTATTTCAATTTTGTGCGTGAGGGTTGATCCACAGCTGCCCTTCCTTCCCAACATTTTGGAGTCCTGTAGCTCAGTGGTTAGAGCAATCGCTTTGCAAGCGAGAGACCTGAGTTCAATTCCAGGCAGGGCGAAACTTTGGGCAAGTTTCCTTACTCCACACAGAGCCTAATACAAATTCCTCCAAAACCAAAACCAATAAAAAATTGGTCATTTTCAATCTACGACTGTTTGTGGAACATTGCTGTGCGCAATTGGCTGCCGCGTTCGCCCACAAATATACAGTCAATTCACTTTACAGTGTGTTCTGTGAAGCGCTTTGGGACGTCCTCCCGACGTGAAAAGCGCTATATCAAATGCAAGGATTATTATTATTATTATTATTATCCGGTCCCTTACCAGGACCACTATCCTCCACCTCTCCCGGATTGCCAACATCTCACCATACATTACCCCAGTCACAACCCAAACAATCATCCATGCGTTCGTCACCACCCGCCTTGACTATTTAAATGCCACTCTATGCACCTCTCCCCATAGCCCCTATCTACAAAATCCAGCTGAACACAAACACTGTCACCCGCAAACACACAAATACTAAACTCCATAACACATCACAGCAGTGCTAACCAGGCACTGTATCACTCAACAGATCGACTTTAGGATACTCACAATGCTTTCAAAATCCATTCATATAATGCACCTTCCAACTTCTCCTATATGCTTATTCCCCAAAGCTTTGTCCGCTGCCTCCACTTGTCTGCATGTCGTTCGTGCCCTCTTTTCACCTTTGGTGGCTGCGCTTTCAAGCCAGTGCACCCCGAAACTCTGGAAAAGTCACCTTCTATCCCTCCGCCTTGCCCATTCCTGTCCCATTATTAGGTCGTACCTGAAGACCTTCGGTCACCAGTCCCCTCTCCACGTTTCGGAGTCGTGCTCCACCACCTTCCAGCCATCTGGGATGCTACATTGTGTGAGTGGCGCTCTGTAAATACAAGTTGTTTTCTTTGTTTAATATGTCCATGATAGACAACATTACACACTGATGCTGAATACGTTTCACTGATTTTTGCAAAAATGAGCTTCAAAATTATCAACCACGGATGCGCAACCAATTCTCTTCACAAGTTTTTCTTTTAATCACTTTGGAATGTCTCGAGGAAGTGCTACGACGATTTTTCCAACGCTAAGATCGATATACTCATGATCAGCAGCAGCGAAGAGCACAGGCAGGAGATCAGACACATAGCCTGGTAGATGGGCTGAATTGTATAGGTTACTATAATACTGGTGTCCTAAAACATAGTTGTTGGAACACTCGTCTCGGATGCGAGAGATCTGGGTTCGGTTCCCGGTAGGCCGAAACCTTGGGGAGGTTTCGTTACTCACTTGCCTGATAATAATCCCTGAAGAAAAAAAATAATAATTTGGTCACTCAATCTACGACCGTTTGTGGGACCACGGCTGCGCGAAATTGCCTGTCGCAATCGCCCACAATAGAGTCAATTCACTGTACAGTCTGTTCTGCGAAGCGCTTCGGGTCGCCTCGAAGTCGTGAAAAGTGCTATATCAAATGTAAGGATTAATATTATTATCACTGTACTGGATTAAAGGTTCAATTTGTAGTGGGAGGTTATATTGTCACACTGATATTGGTCTTATGATGGATGGGAAGCCCAGTAATTCCGGATGAGAGATTTACGCTTACTCTGTAACTGACTGAACCGTTTCTAATGAATAATTCTGATGTATACAAATGTAGCTTTGGCCATGGTTTTCACTCTTGTTCCAGTCATTTTAATTTACGTAATTGCGGTCACTAAGATAATTATCAGAGTTACCGTCACAGCTGTTACATTGTTTCAATCGTTCACAATTCCAATGAGTTATGGGATCAAGTGTTGACTGGTACTTCTGTGCAGCAATTGGAGAGAGCGCTATATTGGATGTGAGGATAACCGAAGATTCTGCTGATTCTGCTTGTCTACATCTTCGAAATTACTTTTTCACAGTGTCCGAAAACAATTGTTTTTCAGATAAACTCCTCATTTGCTTCCTGGTTACATGTACTGATTTATCTAATAGTAAACTGGACAGCAAATATTTGTGTTGATTGGCTTTCTGAATGCTGCATCCACGTGTGATATCCGAATATCTGTTTATCCTGACAGTTTATCTATGGAGGATATTTGATCACCCGAAATCATCATGGCTGAGGCTCCCAATCCTAACCCACAACCGTCAGCTAGCAAAGAAAACCAAACGGAGACAGGCAAGTTCAAAAAATCCGTTCGCAATAACACAGAGAGAGCTAACAAGAGCTGTCGAAATTTCATGCATTTTTTTAAATTTCCATTTCATGTAGCTCCAACTACATCGTCGAGACAATTTCAAAACTTTTCAAGGATGTATTGTAAAGGAGATTTGATTTGGTTAGGTACGTCGGTAACCCGTAGGCACCGATTTAGAATAGTTGCGAAAAGAAACGGAAAGGCGGAGAGGAGATATTCTTTCACGGAGTTGTTGGTATTTAGAATTAATTGCCTGAAATGGTGGTGGAAGCCGATTCGATAACAACTTTTAAGAAAGAAGGAGATAATTATTTGGGGAGGACAAGTTTGCCGGGCTCTGTGGAGATAGAAGGGCAGTGGGATTGATTTGAAATGCTCTTCACAAGGAGCCGGCATAGACACTTTGGGCCGAGTGGCCTCCTTCTGTGCTCCATAATTCTATGATCCTATGACTGTGGGTGAAATATGGCAGCCAGTTTGCACACAGCAAAGTGCCATACATGGAGTGAGTGAGTGAATTTATTTGGGGGTTTTGTTGAACGGAACACATTCCTTCTGAATTGGTCATGTGATCATGTAAATGGCAGATGGGTCCTCGATTATCGATGATAATAATTAATAATAATATTCTTTTCATTTCATGTAACACATTATCACTTGGGTTATGTGTCTCGAAACCCTTCACAGATTGGGCTGCAAAGTGAATTGGTTGTATGTTTTGTGGGCGAATCCCAGCACTTAATTGCCCATAGCAGTATCCCACAAACAGTCCTCGATTGAGTGACCAAATTACATTTTTTGAAAAAAATTGCGGCATTACTTATTCCCCGAAAGTCATCTGCTGCCCGGCTAACAACTGGTTTCCTACTTACTGCTAACTAAACATAGATATGTGGAGTAAGAAAACATGTCAAAGGTTTCAATCAGCAAGGGAATCAAATCACGTTCTTCTCATTTCGAGAGTGGCGCGTAACTGATGGTTTTCAGCTCTCAAACCTCTTGCAGCATGTTGGTTAGAATAAGCGAAGTGTCTCAAATGCAGGATTGTGGCCCAAGCTGTGAAGCGCAGATTTCGAGTGTAAATTATACAGTGATTGAAAATTCTAACGCGGTCCTTCACCCCACAGCATTCTGGCTACAAGGAAAGTGTGCTACCACTGAGCCAGGTTGACGCATAATGATGAATATGTAAATATATATAAGATATGAACGTGCGTTGAAGTATGGAATGTGTTTGATTGTGTGACTTGTTGTTGACAGGCTTAATGGAAACATTCTCCAAAACGCTCGACCTGTATGATGAATACCAGCTGCTCAAACTCACAAAGGTCTACCGGCACAGAATAGAACAGGCCATTGAGGTAGACATGGAGGGCGTCATCACTTTGTTGACAAGAAATGAACATCTCAGCCAGCCCGAACAGCAAGTAGGTAGTCAGATGGGGAAAAAAATCCTATTTGATTTATGTCTCTACGTTGGTAGAGCAAAATTTTTGCTTTCAATACAAATTCGAATTTATAGCTTTCACCTTTGGCACGAGCTGGTATTTTGTACCCAATGTTCAGTGACCATTGCGGTGGATGTTGAAGCGGCAAGGACAAAACCACTATCCCGTCTATATAAACAAGTGAATGGTTAGAAGGATGTAAAACAACCATCCAACTGAAAATTCACACAGTGTTGAGCAGCTACTTTTAGGTAGATTTTGATTGTGCGTCCATATTCTATGTGAATGTTCCTCAATAGAAGGGATCAGGTGGAGGTAATTCGGGATGGAGTGGATGAGCTGCAGGGAATCCGTTCAAAGAGGACAAACGGATGCGGAGAAAGTGTATAATAATTGGGAAATGAAACCAGGTTGATGCTGTGACACATTTCCCCGGAACATTGCTTCAATTTGATTCTTTTTACATTATTGTATGTCAGCTAAAGCTCCCGCTCACTTTTTATGAGAGGCGGGTGAAGAGAGGTCATGCTGGGCTATGACACAGTGTAAAATCAACTCGGTGCCTCACACAATAACAACCATTTGAGCGAGGTAACGGAGGACAACCTGTGCCTGCGGAACCTCATCCACAATGAGGAGACACGCCAATTGGAACTGGCCATATCCTGATCACAATCAGCCTTGACGTTTTACTTTCCTCTTCACGCTCTGCAGAAACTCACTGAGCTCACAAAAAGTGGGCAGACGGAAAAAAGCTCCAAACTTCTTCTCAACCTCGTGCTGGGGAAAGGTTCCCGGGTCTCTCGAGAGATGTGGAAAACCTTTGCGGAAATGAGAACGAATTTTCCCAAAATGAACAAAATAATGACTGAAATACAGAAATATGGTAGAGTATCATTCCACAGTTACTCCATTAAATAATCTGTTACATATTTTACTGAAACAACATGGATACGTTATTCACAACAACTGATGCAAATTACTCTGTACAAACAGGTTCCAATCTGATAAACCAGGTGATGAATGATCAACGTGTACCAGAGGTACCCAGCAATCTGGAAGGTTTGTGACAAGTCCGTAGTGTAACAAGTAGATTCATTTCTGAAATACAGTGACTAAATCTTTGCCATTTACACTGAGATTTCCAGAAATTACTAATGACCTGGTATTTGAATGATAACGGGACATCAATTTGATTATAATCTTCCCCTCCTGGAGGCCCTCTCCAGCATTAGCATCTATCAGTTTTGAACTCATCCGTACTTAAGCCGCTCCAAATGCTAAGTTTCACACGTCCATTACGCCTATCCTCAACAGTGTTCACTCTCTTCCTCGCTCCTGTTGATTGAATTGAAGTTGTTCAGTTTCCTCTATATATTCTGAAACTCTCCCACCCCTTCCAACCTCTGCGACTTTCTCCAACCGCCTTCTTCTGCTCACCTCCGCCACAATCTGTAATTAAAAGTCTTCTGAATTTTAATTCTGTGACACACAACCCATAGACAGCATCCTCTCAACTGAAAACCCACACAGCATTGAGTATCTGCCTTCAGGTAGGTGTTGGAAGTGTGTTTAACCTTGTGTTAATTTTCCAATTGAAGACGTTCAACGACTACACAAGGCGACGTTGCAGAAACAAAGTGAAAGGCTGGAAGTGAAGACCATCCTGATCAAGGAGAAGGTGAAGATATTTCAGCTGATTGATCGCTACATGGAGTTGACCATCATTTCCGATACACGTCACCGGAAACTTGTAGAACATGAGCTGCTGGCGAGAGGCCGAGACCACGAGGAGTGGAGACAGAAGGAGCTCCGGGGAAAGCTGGAAAAAATCCGGACTGATAAATTGTTCCACAGCAGCTTCTCGAAAGGAAGTCATTTACATACCTCCCAGAGACGCGGTTCTGACTCTCCGACAGGAACTTCCGCAGTTGTAAGTGGAGTGGCTGGGATTGGAAAAACAACCATGGTGCAAAAGATGGTCCATGACTGGGCCATAGGCAAAATCTATCCTCACTTTCACTTTGTATTTGTTTTTAAGTTCCGAGACCTGAATACCATTCACGACAGAACAACCCTGAGCCGTCTGATCGCGGAGCAGTATCCTTACCTCAGGGATATTCTGGACGAGCTTTGGAAACACCCAAAGGGATTGCTCTTCATATTTGATGGTTTGGATGAATTCAGAAGAAGGATTGATTTCGGTCAAAATCGGAGAGACGCAGAACCTCGGCGCAGGTGCACAGATCCACAATTCCTCTGTGATATATCTGATATTGTGTACAGTTTAATACAGAAAAATCTGCTGCCAGGCTGCTCAGTTCTGGTGACCAGCCGCCCCACTGCATTATATTTACTGTCAAAGGCTCAGGTCAGTGTCTGGGCTGAAATCCTGGGATTTGTGGGTGACGAGAGAAAGGAATATTTTCACAAGTTCTTTGAGGATGAGGAGTTGGCGGCTTCTGTCTACAGCCACGTGGAGGAAAACGAACTGCTGCTCACCATGTGCTACAACCCGTCCTATTGTTGGATCCTTGGTCTGTCTCTGGGTCCCTTCTTCACACGTAAACACAACGTCAAACAGCAAATTCCTAAGACAATCACACAACTCTTCTCCTATTATATTTACCATATTCTGACACATCACAGTGTTAAGATGGAAAGCCTCCGTAATGAGATGCTGAATATTGGCGAGATGGCCTTCACTGGAGTCTCACAGAGAAACATTGTCTTTAATAATGAAGACCTGATCAAATGTGAACTCCAATCTTCAAAGTTCCTCTCTGGTTTTCTCATGGATCTTTTGGAGGAAGAGTGCTCAGAGCACAATGCGGTCTACACATTCCCACACCTTACCATCCAGGAGTTTGTCGCCGCACTCGCTCAGTTCCTGCCTCAGAATCCAGGAAATCTGCGGAAACTCCTAAATGAAGCTCACAAGAACGAGGATGGTCGCTTTGAGATATTCCTGCGCTTTGTGGCGGGTCTCTCATCTCCACGGGCAGCTCAGCCGCTGGAGGAATTTTTGGGTCCATTCTGCCGTCAGAGAACCTGTGCGGTGATCGATTGGCTGAAGGAGACGTTCAAAGCTCAGATCAAAGACGTAGAAACCGTCACTGGGCAAAGGAAACTGCTTAACACACTCCACTACCTGTTTGAGTCTCAGAATAAAGCCTTGACACAGCTCACACTGGGATCTGTACAAAAGCTAACATTTGGTGATTCTGCTTCATTGCGACTGACTCCCATAGATTGTGTTGTTCTGGCTCACACTATTGGGCTATGTGACACAATTCAACACCTGGATCTGGAGAGCTCCTACATTCAGGATGAAGGACTCCAGCGTCTGATTCCTGCACTGCAAAAATGTCAGCATTTGAGGTAACGCCAATCTATTTGATTTGTAAAGTATAATCTACCTCAAAATAGTCTAACGTGTTATGTTGCAAGACAGTGTCACAAGTTTCAACCAGTCCTCATGAGTCAGATTTGCTTATTGAGTCGCACTCTCACCTCCACAGCAGAATGTTGTGGTTTCAAGCCCCACCAGAGTATTTCGAAATTATACACAATAAGATGTCGTTCCAGTTCAGTCGTGGGGTGACGTATAACGTATGATGTGCCATGCTTTGGATGACATGTTAAACGGAGACCACGTCTGCTCGCTGAGGAGAACATTTGAGGTCGATTGACATTTATCGAAAATACAATGCAGTTTATGACCGACAATCATCCAAATAAATTTAATCTATATTCCATGCCGATTTGCAGGATATCATTCTGTAAAACTGGGCTGATTTGCTCATCCTTAATTTGAACTCAGGGGTTTCTCTGTATGAGCCATTGGCACGAGTACTTGGGGAAAAGAGAGCTCTTTCAGAGAAAAGGGCTGCATTTAAATGGTGCTGGGACAAATGTCCTGGCCAAACGAATTAACTGGGAAATAAATAGGAATTTAAACAGTAAAGTGTGGGGGGAATATATAAGCAAGAATAATCATAGGTTAGCATTAGAAAAAGTAAAGGTCACAGTGCAGAACAGTAGAACAACAGTAATAGGAATATGTTAACTGGGGGAAAGAAGCTTGGCAAAGTAGATAAGGAGTCAGAGAGTAGAGTTAATGTTAGAAAATTAGAAATGTTACATCTGAATGCGCGAAGCATTCGAAATAAAACTGATGAATTTAAAGATAGATAGGCACATACGGGTACGATTTAGTAGCTATCACTGAAGCATGGTTACAAGGAGATGTAGAGTGGTAGTTAAATATTCCAGGGTTCTCAGTTTGCAGGAAAGTTAGGCACTGTGTGAAAAGAGTTGGCGTGTAGCCCTGTTAATGAGGGATGATATAAAAGCAGTATATTTAAGGATGTAGCGCAAAATTCTCAGCGGTCGCATATTCCCTTGCGGAGTAAGAGTACCACAGTGAAAGCAATTCACCAGTGGCTAACTGGAGCAGTTAGGGAATGCATCAATTTAAAAGAAAAGGCTTATAAAACTACCAAGAAAAGCAGCACATCTGATGATTGGGACAGTTTAAGAAACTAGCAAAATAAAACTAAAAAACTGATTAAGAGCGAGAAAAGGGAGTATGAGGGTAAGCTAGCTAGGAGCATTAAGTCCGATTATAAAAGTTTTTACAAATATATTAAGAGGAAAAGGCTAGTGAGGGTAAATGTAGGTCCACTTCAGTCAAACACGGGCGAAGTTGTAATGGGGGATAAGAACATGGGAGAGTCCCTAAATGAGTACTTTGCAACTGTCTTCAACCGACCACACCTGGAATATTGTATGACTGTACACTGTTGACATATTCAAAACTTAGAAAATTTCTTATTGCAAAAGGGATTAAGGGATATGCAGATAGGGCAGGGTTAGGTTATTAGCTGGAGTTAAATTAGAAGATCAGCCATTGAATGGCGGGGTAGGCTTGATGGGTCGGATAGCCTCCTCCTGCTCCTACATGTTATGTTATGTTTATGAATGGTGCTGATGCATTGAGAGCAAACGAATAATGTACAAATGTCATATGTATCCTGTGTAGCAACACCGTCTAACAGAAGGTGAGAGAGATAAACAAGTGAATCTTCGCGTGAACATCACCCATTTAATCTTGTTTCAGTAAAGCCTGTGTATGAAATGTGGGAGTAAATGATGAGACATTGAATCAATGCTTGTCTGGCAGTTACAAAACGTGGTGATATTAGCGGAACGTAAACCGTTCTATTACTAAATTACCTATACTAGAATAATTCCCACATTATATATTATTATCTGTTAAAAAGATTGATTCTGAATTTGTTTTCTTCAGTTAAAATCTGTTAGCTATAACTACGATTCGTATATGTAACATTTGTCTTCACTCTCTCGATAAACAATCTGAGAGATTGGGGAGTGAAGCGATTGCATGTGGCTGACAGCAACCCGAGATGTCCAATACAGAATCCGGATTAATTAACATACGGTTTCAGTATATCATTTCGCAAAACAGGATTCCTATGTTAACTCAGTAGGTTATTTATATTGACTGATCAGAATAGCTGCATATTGTAGCAAAAATCGGTGTGATAGTGCAATCGACCATCTACAATTAAATTATAATCTGAACATGTAACAACAAAGTGTTTCGTTCAAAGCACCGTGGGTAAGTGCTGATTTTATTACATAAAATCTGAAATATTCCCATTGTGAATGGAAACTTCCATCAGCTACCCCAGGCAGCACTGAAGATTTAGGGCTTTGGCTTGCAGACTGACTGATCCTCATGCACAATGCTCTATTGGAATGCAGACCGCATCGGTTAGCAAGCAGACAACATAGATCCCGTAGTGAATCCCGAAGTGACTCCATTCACTCAACAGTAACCGAGACCCGACAACCAGCAGGGAATTAATCGTAGAATAGCTCGGGTTGTGCTATTGCAAAAGGTTGTGGCCCCATATTTTTTTGGGAATGGAGAAAGTCTCTGACTCTTGCTTCTTCCTGGTGGAGTACTGTCGTCTCAGTTTGACCTCAGTGTATTTTACTTTTACTGCCAATAGTGTGTTACTGTGGTGCTTCCTCTCATCCATGCTTTTTTCTCTGTGTCTCCGATCCACAGTCTGTATAACAACAATCTGACAGCTGATTGTGCAGAGGATCTCGCCTCTGCTCTCAGTGTAAATGGCTCACTGATAACGCTGGAACTGGGCCATAATAACCTGGGAGATTTAGGAGTGAAGCGACTGTGTGTGGCTCTGAGAAACCCTGCGTGCAAATTACAAGCGCTCTGGTAAGTAACACATTGTGTAATATAATATTTCGAATTTGAACTCACGCGATAACTGAATGTTGTATTTACAACATTGCCTGATCAGTTAGTGCCACGAATCGGTTTGACAGTGTCTCTTACATCACAAAATAGACGTGTATTGATAAGAAATCTAAATATGTTGGAAAAAATACAGCTTTAGTGACGTGGATAGGAGCATCTCCTCCCACAGCTCACTCCAGTCGGTAAAATCACCCCTTGTATCCAATCCAAATCCTCCACAGACTGAGGAAACCGCAAGCGTTGTCAATGATGGGGGGGGGGGTTGCATTACATATGGAAACCCATCACCAAGTTTAACAGTCTCCAAACCCAACTGCTGTGAATTCCTCATATGTTTGTCTTTTGTGGAATATGGCCTCTGCTCACTTTACGCTCCTTCAATGTAACAGTTTTTGAAATCATACAGCTTTGCCCTGACATCGTAGTCTGTCTAATTTACTTTTGCTGATCCACTGTGGATTGTTCAGCGCGTCGGGGCTTTGAGCTGCCAATTTGATATATTAGTATGTCCCAGGTTTCTGTCAATCCTACAGCATCCTGTCATACAACTACAACAACAAAAACAACAAGATTCCATTTCTAGAGCGCCTTTTCACGTCGGGAGGACGTCCCAAGGCGCTGGACAGTTGGGTCAATAGTGGACGTGAGGAAACTGCTGGCGAGAGAGGCAGAAGACGCGGACCACTGAATATTTAGATAACTCATTGCCACACGGGTCATGTTGGAAACACCTCGGCTCCCGCTGACCCTGACCTCTGTTCTGAAGATGGATCTCTGCCATAGGGAACCTCCAGTTCACGGAGATCTGATATGACACGAGGGTGCCTATCCTCCCGGATCTAATCCGCAGGATCGGGAAATGTTCCAGGTCCCCTGGCCCGTTGGGATCTCCAAGGTTCAACAGGTTTTCAGCCCGTAGACATGAGCCCTGTCCTCCGCATGTTTCATGCTGCAGTAACGAGACTTGATAAGCACTGAGTTTCTGCACCGTTTTGTCTGTGCCTTTGAACTCCGGGCTGTGTCATACATTGAAATGAACACTACTAACTCTGTCCCCTGTTTTTTCTCGTTGCCGCTCATCTCCGGGATATATAACAAACAATGATAAATACTGTGTGTATCCTTTTATCTCTATGTTTTTTGATCTCCAGGCTGACAGACAACAATCTGACAGATGCTTGTACTAAAGATCTCGTCTCCGCTCTCAATACAAACCGTTCACTGACAGCGCTGAATCTGGGCAGTAATGAACTGGGAGATTCAGGAGTGAAGCAATTGTGTCTTGCTTTGAGGAACCCCAAGTGTAAAATAAAGACGCTGGAGTAAGTACCACATTGTTTCATAAGGAAATGCCACAAGTATGAATTCCCCCAATATGTTATTAACACCTTCTGATCATTTAGCGTTGAATACTGTGGCAGGAATTGTTGGGACCGTGTCAGGCCATACGGCATCTCTTACATCACAAACAAAACATGTATCAACAAGAAATCTCAACCATGTGGTGGCACCAGAATCTGTAGTGATGTGCTGGTAGGAGCGGCTTATTTTTAACCCATTGTATTATCACTATTATTATTAATACGAATATTTTTAGACGTCTAAAAGTGCTTCACTTGACACATAGTGCTATGCCTTTATATTGTGTGGTCAAAAAGGAGGAATGTTGTTATCAAACGGATGTCTGACACGCGTAGGAAACCGTCAATGTGCGTGTAGTTATATCCAAATCAAACAGCTAAGAGCTCGACATATGTATGTGCTCACTCTCTCCACACAGGGAAGGAAATTCCCTGCTCCATTAATCCTGTCGAACAACAATAGTAAGCTTGCGACCCGTGGGACATATTATGGCACGCTTAAAATTGTCCTCTTCTGTTCTCCAATAGTTAAACTTCCACAGTTTGCCATCGTAAACTACGTCCGTTAAGATGGTACAGGTAAACTTTTACTGGGAGTATAATACAAAACCCCAACCCAGGGTGAGAGGCTCAATCTGGAACTGTGGGATATGATAACGAAGGCGACCAGTAAGAGTTGGAGATTTTAGCTTGACAGAAGTTGACTGTGATAATGAAGTCAATATATGGAGTCCTGTAGCTCAGTGGTTAGAGCACTCGCTTTGCAAGCGAGAGACCTGAGTTCAATCCCAGGCAGGGCGAAACCTTGGGCAAGTTTCCTTACTCCACACGCCTAATATTAATCCCTCCAAAACCAAAAAAAACAATAATAAATTGGTCACTTCAATCTACGACTGTTTGTGGGACATTGCTGTGCGCAATTGGCTGCCGCGTTCGCCCACAAATATACAGTCAATTCACTTTACAGTGTGTTCTGTGAAGCGCTTTGGGACGTCCTCCCGACGTGAAAAGCGCTATATCAAATGCAAGGATTATTATTATTATTATTATTATATAGCGAAGAGATCTCTAGAGTTAAAGGAGTACTGGTTTGTGACTCAGTGTATAAAAAAGCCAACAGCAGGAGATACCATCTTGGATTTTATAATGAGTATTTTTTATAATCAAATTTCTAACTTATCGGTGGATGAACCATTAAACAACAGCGAGCACACAATGCATTCAGAATGGACATCACAAGAATTTCTGAGAATTCAAAAAATGGTAAAATTCAAGAGAAGCTTCTTTTTTTGCGCGAGAGATGTCTGTTCGAAGTGGGAATGACAATCTTAAACATGGAGATGGTAGTGGAGGAACGATGGAGTTACTTCACGGCGATGGTTATGAAGGCAATGAAACAATATGTACCCATGCGATGCAATGGTACAAAGGTTAAAGGCAATGCTGCTGGATTGATCGGGACTACAAATCAGATTCATGAAGAGGGGAAAAAGGGATTTAAGGCCATGAGGAAAAGTAGAACAGAATTAAGTGGCATTCGATATCAGGAAACAAGCCGGGAATGCAAAAAAAAAGAATAGCAAAGTAAACCTTCGAATTGAACACGGCAAAATATGTGAATGGCATTAACAAAACGTTTTTTTGTTACATTAAGAGAAAAAGGAAAGCAAACGATGGAACCGTGCCACTGAAGGTAGGTACAGGAGACGACACAATAATTAATCCTGCAGAATTTGCAATATTACTAAATATGTTTGTAGCATCAGATTTTACAGAGGAGTATATGGATAACCTATCTGATCTGGAAAGAGAACTCAAGGATGTCGCAGAGGAAATTTGCGACACTACTCATCACTGCCAAAATGTTTGCCAAAGAGCTGTGAAAACGATCGCACAAATCTTTCTAAAAATCACTGTTTACCGGAGAGCTGCTGGAGAAGCTAGGATGGTTCACCTTGGAGCAAAGAAAGTTAAGAGTAGACTTAGTTGCAGTTTTCAAAATTATGAGGGGTTTCGGTAGGGTGGAAAACAACAAAATATGTCCAATTGTGCGAGGGTCCATAACCGAGGACACAGAATTAAAATAGTTGTTAAAAGAAACAGAGAGGGAGTGAGAAGATTTTTTTCCCACAGCGAGTTGCTCGGAAATGGAGTGCATTGCCTGAATGCGTGGCGAAAGTCGATTCGATGACAGTTTTAAGAAAGAAGTAGATAATTATTTTGGGAGGACTAGTTCGCAGGTATACGGAGAGAGAGCGGGGGAGTTGGATTGATTTGGATAGCGCTTTCTGAAGATCCGATACAGACAAGTTAGCCGAGTGTGCTGCTGAATAATTCTCTGATCCTATGTTTCTATGACTTTGTAAAAGACACTCAGTGAAAGGACATCTAATGAACTGTATAAACGGACATCAATTTGGAAGAGAGTCAGAAAGAAAAATTAAAAAGGACGAATCCAGTTGGACGTGATATAATAGCTGACTATTTACGACTGATCGAATTGCGCTTACAATAATACCTGGATATTTTTAGGTGATCGAAATGAGAAGCATACAACAATACTTGGATAACTTTGGATGAAATATCGGGATTATATTGATATTGGATGATATTGGGATTAAAAAGACGGATGAAAATATACATGACATCGAACATTGCAACTCTATCTCTGGCGCAGAATTTGATGAGGTCAAATTAAATAGGTGTTAACTGTGAATCCATATATAAGCATTGTTATGACACATTCTTCCTTTCGTTGCTTATAATTCGTACTAATCTGAATAAATATATCTATATCTTTGTACAATGTTTGTGTCAATCCTTACCTCACCGCAGAGTCTGGAATTTAAATTCACCCTTATAATAGGCAGTTCTCTTTTAGGAAAGAAACTGATGGCATATAGTACATAGGCAGTTCGAGACCTGGAGTATCTCACAGTTGCTTACATGCACTGCTTTTTAATCTAATGCATTTTATTTCCATGTTTCTCTGCTCACCAGCCGTATAATAAACTTTAATAAACACTGCGTTTAATCTGATTCCTGTTATTTCTCCACCGATCTCCAGGCTGATAAGTAACAGACTCACAGATGGCTGCACTGTTGATCTCATCTCCGCTCTCATTGAAAGCTGCACACTGAGGGAGCTAAACCTGATGTCAAACTCCATCACAGACGTGTCTATTCCCGCTCTGCGCCGCTGCATACTGAAATGCACCAGCCTGAAGGAGATCGAGTGAGTATTTGTGTCTGTGTTTATTGTGATAAAGTCACAGCGAAACGGATTGGAAAAAGTCTAAAGGGATTTGTTTATTAATCTGCGACAAGCATATTCTTTACGGTAACCAAATAGGTTTATTTCCCGTTTCATGCGTTTCAGGCTGGTGGGAAACCATTTAAGTTCGCACGGAAAGAAACAACTCAGGTCACTGCAGGGAACCAGGTGTGGACTGAGTGTGATAGTATGAAAGCAGCCTGAGGAGAGGAAAGAGACTGTGTAATATTAAACAAATTATCTACAGTTTATACTCAGTATATTAATACTCTGCCTGTACAATAATATAATATATAATACTAAACACATGATTTAAAAGTAAATGAATACTCAGTCTGTACTAAAATAATATATAATGTGAAACATTATATAAACACTCAGTCTGTATAATAAAGATATATAGAGAATCCTGGCCTTCTTTCCTGTCTCTGCGGATCTCCAGCCTCGGACACAACAGAAACACTTCTCCGTGGAGTGCTTGTCACCTCCTGGCTCGATTTTCCAAACACGCTCTATGCCGATCTCCCAAGCTCCACCATACAGAGTACTCAGCTGACACAAAACGGCGCCCACCGCTCACTGACCCGTACTAAGTTCTGTATACCCATCACATCAGTTCTAACCAAGCTACATTGGCATCGTATCGCAGAATCGATCGATGTCAAGATTCTTATTTTCTCACTTTCGTTTTCAAATCCCTTCACGCCCTGACACCTCTCTAGCTCTCCGACCTGCTTATCATCCTGCCTAACTCAATGCCTCCGCTCAAGTAACTCTGGCCTTCCTGCCCTCCATTCCAACATTGGTAGCATTACTTTCAGACATTACGAACCGAAACTCTGGGACACTCTTCCTCTATCACGCTGCCTTGCACCATTCTTCTCCATCTTGAGGTCTCTCGTGAAGATCTTGCTATTCGACTACGGTCACGCCCCCTCGCCCTGCCTCTCGGCGTTTAGTTCCGCCATTGTCAAGGTAGTGGGACGGAACCCTGTTTGAGTGGGCTGTGTATATCGAAGCTATTGTTTATCCTTGGTCCTTTCCTCTTCAACGCTACATGATCCCTCTTGGTGATATTATCCACAGAAACGGTTTGAAAAAGGATGACAGTAAACGTTATCTCACTGACCCACCCTCGACTGTCTACCCCCTCCTCGTTCCCTCCCTTCCCTCCCCTCACCCTGACCATTTCCCCCTTGCTCGGGTCCTGACCCAACTGTACAGCGCCTTGGGACGTCCTCCCGACTTGAAAGGCGCTCAATAAATGGAATCTTGTTGTTGGTGTTTCCCAGGGCAACTGATGCCTTGATAGACTGTCTGTGTGACATCAAGTCGTGAATGAGAGCTAAGATTCTGCAGCTGATTGATAGCAAAACCGAGGCACTCCAGATTGGCTCGTGCCAGCGCATCCACACATCAAGCACTGGCAGCACGGATGCACACTCCACACTCACCTAGCTCCTAAGGAACTAGTACATCTTCTTGGAAACTCAAGAAGATCCTTCCTCCAATGCGTCAGAGACATCGATCTCTCTGACTTCCCCCACCTGTGAAACATTACCGAGTCCACCACAGCCACTATCAACCTGTCAGCTCCAGTTACTCAGCTGGCTTCGGCCTTTCTAGAATCTTCTGACCGAACTGCCATGGGCGGCTGGGCTTTCAGCCTCTTTGTCCCCATCCTCTGGAATTCCATCAGAAAATCCCTTCGCCTTGATGCCTTGCTTTCCTCCTTCAAAACACGACTTAAAACAATACTTATCGATTGTGCCTTCAACCGCGTTCCAACCTCTCTGCCACGAGCAACATCATCCGTACCCAACACACACGCTCCGCCCGCCGCCACACCCTCCCCTTCCCACGTTCGGGTCCGGACACTTCGTCACCCTGCAATGACTCCCTGACGTGAAAGGCGCGTTAAAGCATAATGTTCTTGTTGTTTCTGTTGTGCTTATGACTACGTTACCATACCGAACACCCCCAAACCCAACCATAAGCTCATTTTCTCTGAGACGCTACCCTGCATGTTGTTGTACTTCGTTTACTTTATTGGGTGATTCATGTTTTGCTTAAAACTACCGCCTTATCAAATGCCGAGTAAATGTTTCCCTATTTAATTTATATGAACATTATTTTGATTAAATATTGGAACAAAAAAACAGAGTAATGCGTAAAATAGATCAGAATAAATCAAGTATTCTTAAGTTATTTAACACTCAGCTTTATAACAATTAAAAGGTACTAAAATTTTGATATGTTTAACATTAATACTGGCTTATTGTTCTCTTATACCTGTCAATGTTTACTCTATCCTGTCACTTCGTGCTCGTGTCACGAACCGCATTATTTGATCTTATCTAATTCTATGCGGAAACCCACCTTCTGCAATTGTGCTTCACTTTGTTTATATTTTACCTTGCTTATTATTCAGTCATGTGGAATGTTTGTAGCATATGATTGATGCTCCGTGTCCAGAGTCATGTCGGACGAACAAAGGTTTGGTACTTTAAAGTAATCAGAATCGTTGGTCATTTTCATATTAAACAGTTCGAGAAGCCCCAGTGTCCAATGAAAACATTTTACGAAAGCGTCCTATCTTCAATGATTATCAATTTATACTTGGCACATTATCTCAGTGCAGCACTCCGATTGTCAATGAAGCCCTGCTTGATATATGTCTTCTCCCCATATTTTATACACTTGAAGAGCACTGGGTGCTTGTCTTTGAAAAGTTTTAATTTCATCTCGCAGCTTTCCGAACTCTGAAATCATTTGTCCTACCGTAATATTTATGTCCAAACCAGCAATTTTCTCTTCAAGTCTAAAATATTGTGTTATATTGTCCCTTCAGACAACGATTCTGACATTCTATTTTGGATGTATAATCGGAATAATGTGTCCTTCTTACCACAGGTTCGACGTTCTATTTATTTCCTGATATGTTCCGGTTTTCGCAATGGTAACAGCCACTCCCTATTTCCACCGACGGTTCCCCATTTTCTTTGCCACGGAAATATCGCTTTCCTGTACCGCCCTATAACGTTCCCGAATTTTTTCGCATTTGTTTAGGGTTATTTTCACTATTATGGCTAATTGATCACATTTTATTTTTTCATTTTCACCCTCTCTTGCCTCTCACTTCATTATCGTTTTGTTTGTGATCCATTTATCAATAGGGTCAACATTTTCCCTATCCCAGTTTTTCTCGAAATAGTCTTATAAGTTGGTAGAGAATGGCTGATTTGCATTCTGTGACAACTTTGTGTAAAGTGATCCCGATCACCATGGTCTCGTCCTGGAACAAAATTGATTGAATTCTTCCTATAATCGGTCAATAACATTTGAGATTTTCGAATGTTGACTCTTTACATTGGCACAACACTATAGTTGGATCTCGTGTATCATACCGTGCAGCTTTTAAGATATATCTTCTTAAGTTATTTTTTAGACTTCCCATATTTCATGTCTAATAGTAAGCTATTCAAAAGTGTATGTAGATATTGTGTCTTCTAGTAACCTTAAATGTTCTGTCTGATCAGACGTATTTACTGTTGATATACATTCTGCCTTGTTTAAATGACAGTATATGCATCTCGATTTCCTTCAAATTTGGAAATAGTATCTACCATCACTTGCATGCGCACCGTATCGAATAGTATTCTCACTCTACGAAACTCTTGCTACTCATCGCCCTCACCTTTCCCTTTTGTTGAATGACTGCATGCAATGCCAATGGATTTTCCCTTTTTGCTTTCCCTATTCTTTGCCTTTTCTGGACCATCCCTTGACTCGTATACGTCTTCTTGATTACTAACTATTTTCTCTTTCAACTCCTGTAACTTTGCTTGGTTAGACTGCATTGGCGTTTCTGTCAACTAAATGTGAGACATAGGTTCGCTACATTCACTATCACTTTCTTTTCTAATGCTTCGCAAAACCTTTCACGCCTCTCAATTGTAGAGTTCCTGATTTCTGCGTACTGGAAAAGCTCTTGCTGCTCTTTTTCCATATTATACATCATGTCGCTGAACATATATTTGTGTAAATTAAATTTCCATAACCCTCTGAGCCAGAAGTTTAATTTCTTTCAATTTGACTTCTGCCCCTCTAGCCACGGCATTCGGAAATTAAGTTTTTCTCGCTTCGACTCCTTCATTTCTAGGCAGAGCATTCTATTTTTCAAGTTATCTCAAGTTGATTTTCTCCAATCTAGCTAGAGCATTCTGACGGACATGTTAGATTTTTTTGACTTCCGCCTCTAAAGCACATTTTTTTTTGTCAAAAGACAAGTAAATGAGAACGGAGAGGACGGAGCCAATTAAGTACATGAGAACCTCTATGATCATTAGCAACGAAATGGGAATCAAACAATAACTGATAGTATATCCAATTATGCAGATCAGAACATTGGCTGCCCGGTATAATTGCCTAAGTATTATTAAATCCACCCAACAATATAAGCCAGCAATCAATGTCCAACTCACTAAAGGTAATTTATCAATATAAGTTGGAATATGATGTATCTTCCTCGACTCCAGATGCACATTCCTCAGTGATATTGTTTCCTGGGGTACCAGCTATAACTGAAAGAAAAAAGTTCTGCAAAACATCATGAGCCAGATGTAGGAAGATAAGGAGTAGGCTTCTCAATTAAGAAGGAAAAAATTCTCAAAGAAGTTCCTAAATAACATCATTATAGACAAGAAAATGGAGACTCAACATACCAATATCGTTCAGTCTAACGCCAGGATGAGTACGTGCATAGCGAAGGCCTAAATAAGAGTATAACTGGCCTAGGGTTTGAGAGTTGGGTTAATTCCAGCTGGCATGAGAAAGCCGCGAGGTGCACGTCACCAAATCACGCATCGCTGAACAAAATTTATTTAGCACACTTTGTGTTAAATTGTAATATAATGCAGAATACTGGCTGATCCGGAAATTTATTCTCATTTGGACTAAATTGGAGAAAGGTCCACAATTCGGCACCTTGTAATTTTAAGGCTGCCATCCTTCGCGTGAGGCGCTAAACGCAATACATGATGTCCCTATTTAATTGAATGTTAAAAATCCGATAACACAATTAGAAAAGAAGACGATGACTTCCAGTGAACTGACGAACAGTACCAAAGATACAAATGATTATTCACTTCGTGGCCACTTATGGAACTTTGCACTGTGCAAAATTTGCTGCTACAATTGCCAACAAGTTCATTAAAGCGGACTGCTAAATGCTTAAGTTACAGCAACTACAATTACAATAGCAACAGCAACTTGAATTTATACAGCACCGTTCATGTAGGTACCATCTCTGTGATAAATTCGTGAGTTGGTTAAGTTGTCAGCAGTTTCCCCAACATACTGTCTGGCGACGCCAAATTTTGTCTCTCGCCAACGTGACTA